AGGTGGACAAGCCTGAGCGCTTTACCTGAGGTGTCATGAACGTGAGTACGCCATTTAAAGTCATTCGATAATTTGACACCAAGATCTTTGATACTGTTAACTGGTGTTACTAGGCTCCCATCAGGAAACCGTATTTCAAGTTGTGGGCTTCCCAAGGAGAAAAGATGGCTTTTTTGGAGGTTAATCCTGAGTCCCCATTGAGCACACCACTTATGCATATTCTCGATTGCTTTATTCAGAAGTTTTTGGGGCGGGGTGGGCGTTATCTTCTACTTTTGTCATCATAGGCAATAGACACTTTTATGTCGTCCGCATATGCTGCAACATGGAGCTTTTGGTCAATTTTCAGGAAGTTAACGAGGTCGTATTGTATATAAAGGAACGGAGAGGGATAGACTAGTGAGGTGCGGACACTGAGTAGCAGTCTCTAGGGTGCAGATACATACTTTGGTAGCGCGTGAGCCCCTCATCTTCCAGAGTGAGTCGTCTAGCCACTCCAAATTAGGACAGATAACCATTGAAGAAGACACATTCGGCTTGAGACGCCCATGCTTTTAAGTCTTGCGAGGAGGCTAGACCGACTCACACTGTCGAAAGCTTTTGTCAGGTCAAAGTACACAACTCCAACTTTTTGCCCGGAGTTGAGCGCTTCAATCCAGAAGTGGGTGCAGTCTATGAGTTGTGTGCAAGTGGAAGAGCCAGGGAGGAAACCATGCTGCTCAACAGGAATGCACTGAAGTTTCAGTACCCATGTGAGTAAGCAGCTTTTGACTATTTTCTCCAAAACTTTTAGCGGAGTGGGCAGTATACTAATGGGCCTGAAGCTAGAAATGAGCTTAGAATCTTTTGTCTTCGGGGATAGGAGTTATATAGCATCTTCTATACTGGATGACCTGTGAAGAAGAAATGAAATGTTGTACATATGAGTAAGAGGTTCGGAGAGCTCTTTTGCAAATGCTTTGAAAAAGAATTGCGGTAGGCCGTCAGATGTTAAGGAAAATTGAGGATCGCATTTTGGCCATTTTTGGAGGGATCGCAAAAGCAGCTTGCACACAGTTGTGCGAAGCAACCTGAATGGACCATATGATAACAGGTTACAATGCTCGAGAATGGAGGAATTGGATTGTGACAAGTAACGCGGTAGCGTCGAATAGGCGCGGAGTACCTGTAATACGGGCCCATGACTCCAGCGCTTGGACCTTCTGAAACTGTTAAGAGGCACAGCCGCTTTTACGAAGAAGGCTGTACTATAAGAGAAAATACACGTTCCCACGCACCTCTGCGTGGCAGTCGGTCATGGCGCAGTACACAGGAAATGTCAATGAGCTGTTTCCCGGTGGTTTTACCGAAAGGATCTGTTCCAGAAGCTTACTTCAAGATCTTCAAACAACTGGAAAAAGCTACTGCGCCGAAACTGGCTACAGCAAAATCAGAGTGGGGACAAAGTGGGGAAATTTTGTTTAGTGAGAAAGAAGTGTAGTGATTTTTGGGAAAAGGGAGTCCTCTGAACTTTGAGCTTTTTATCAGACCCTTGAGTGACCGCATGTGAAGAAAGTTAATGATGTTCAAAGCGAGAAAACTTGAATTTTACACCATGTTATCACGACGAAGTCACAACGGGGAAGTTTGAATGCTCTCAGGCATAGTCAATATACCACGATCCATGGTTCACAACAATGCTTCCCCTTCTTCGGGATCCACTTTCGAAAAAGATACGGATCTTCAAACGAAGGGTGCAAGTGGAGCTCCTCTATTACTTTTCAATACATACTGCGAAATAGCTCGCCCCATCACAACAGTGAAAAGACGTTTTGGAACTCGCGCGAAATGTCTGAATGTACGCGAACAGATAAACTCCAAGTGTCCTGTTATCATCCGCTTTTTCCTTTTTTTTCGTCTTTTTTCTTATGGGCGAGGGGAGGGGGGCGTAATGAGGTCCGCTTTTAGAAGGGAAGGGATGTTATCAGCAGAAATTTATCACAACGCAGTGGCGTGCTCCGGGTGCGCATCTTGCACTTCAGCTCGAGGAGCAGCGTATAAGAGCCAACCGGCATTTCACAGGAAAGTCCCATCACGGTCAGGATACATCAAAGCTCTGCGCCCTCCGCAATTCTTTCCGTGATCATCATGGATGCATCATAGATGAGATTCTCGGGAATTGAATCCTTGGACGTATGTCCATGCAGATGATGTGGTGCTCGCCAGTGAAGATAAGAGCGAACTCGAGCAGCAGGTGCAAGCTTGGTCTGATCGCCTGGCAAAGTTCGGACTCAGGTTGAACATCAAGAAAACCGAGTACTCGACGGGCGACTCAACTGAGTGCGATTCTATCAAGCAGTAGCACCAAGCCCACAGGCACAAGAACTTTCTTGGATTATTTGTACCTTTGTCTTGATAACTAGCTCGCCCTTTTAGCGACTTCTAGTCATCGGCCACGCTTCTTCTGAAAGTACAGAATTCACGGTTTCACTAATACTTTATTACGGGTGATCGGCAAGGTCTTGAATCTTGTCCGTTCGGAGTGCTCACCAGCTTCGCGTCTTGATGTCTCGTCCTGGTCGTCTTGAACGGCTCCAACCAGACTCCGCCAATCATCCAATCGACTCCCTTTTATACCGAATTTTATGTTGAAGAATGTAAGCATAATCTAAAGAGAAAAATTATTCTGAAGCGTTATAATGCAGCATTGCTCACTGATCCGCCAAAAGATAAGAGACTGAGAACTTGAGCGGCGGATGACTAATCGTGTAACTGCTAATCTGAGAGAAAAAGCTCTGCAGACAAGACGATATCAGGGCGCCTTAAATCGAAGATTTATAGAACTGTAGTCAGACCAGTAGCGTTGTACGGGGCTGAGTGCTGGCCTGCAACCAAGGAAGTCGAAGCCCGCCTTAGTGTGATGGAGATGAAAATGCTACGATTGGACGGCCGGTGTTACAACGACGCCATACGCGAGAACATTGGCCCAGTTCCCATAGCTGATACAATGCTAGAATCTTGCCTAGCCACGTACTCCGCGCGAAGGCGGACGCGTCTGTAAGACTGGTCTCCCGTTCGAGGTGCTCAGAAAATGCCCTAAAGGCAGACCATCTTTTCTGAATCCCAGTGTGGTTTGGTTCTGATAACTCTAAACCACGCGAACGACAGCAAAATTTTAACGGTGACAGCGAAGGGGAAAAATATTTTCATGCGACAAAACTAAGACAACCTGACTAGGAAGGTCGATCATTTTTCATAAGGAGCAGTCAAGCTTTGTGTTTGGCTTGGGTCATTATAATAGAGATATCCTATGTCACGGCTCCATAAATGTTTGTGACTATCAGCCCATTTTTTTTACTCTCTTGTTGGGTGCAGCAAGGTGAGCGAGACGTGCTTGAGCGGACCATGATTTCGACTTTATTCGGTCTCGAATGATTTCAATCTTTATATCTCACACGGGGCGCAAGGCTGTTTCGTCATAGACTATCGACGTCCCTTCCTATTTTACCCAGTAAAATATCGAATGCTTGGCTTCTCGAAATTACGGTCCGAATGTTGAAGGGGTTGGGAAAGTGCTA